GGTTGACTAGATACTTCTTCCAAGGCTCCTTCCAACACTGAGATCCTATTCTCTAGTTCTCTGGCCTGACTTGAGAGCCAGGGCAAGCATGGGTTTCCAGGACAGCATCTTCCTAACTCTAGTGCCCTCTCCAGTCTCTAGCAGCCATGATGGAAGAGGAGCCAGAGTCTGCCAGACTACAGGAAGGCAAACCCCAGGATGGTGAGTAACACCCACCTCCATCCATAGAGATGGAGGAGGGTCAGGGCTCAGCTGTGGCACAGGAGATGGAGGGCCAAAGAGCATGCCAGGTTTGGAGGTAAGAGGCCCTGGAACAGAAAGGTAAGGGATTGAGGGCTGCACTCCAGAAGCCAGAGACAATTTGTCGGTGTTTCCCATTCCAGGAAACGCTGAAGGGGATAAGAAAGCTGAAAAGAAGACACCTGATGACAAAGTGAGAATATTTTCTCCCTACGGGGACCCCAGTCCTCTCCCCAACCTAGGTCTGACACCACTCACGCCACTTACGGCCTCAGCAGAAGCTCACACTTATTCCATGGGTTCCAATCATTAACCTGTCTTCTCCACCACCTCACACAGCCAACACATTCGTCTTAGTTCAGGGACATGAAAGAGAGGTGGAATGTAGTGTGTCTAGAAAATACCCCTGGCCTTGCCTCCTGCCTCTCAGTCTGGGACAGAGGTGCCCTGAGACTCATCACCCCCTTTCACCCCCAGCACAAGCAGCCTGGCTTCCAGCAGTCTCATTACTTTGTGGCTCTCTATCGATTCAAAGCCCTGGAGAAGGACGATCTGGATTTCCCGTGAGAGGCCTTAGGATTGGGGTGGCGGTGTACTGGGAGTGGAGAGGGGAGAGCCCCAGCTCCCTGTGGGAAAGGAAAAGGGGGGACTCAGGCATGGAGCCTATTTGGGGCTGGACCTGGGCACAGCCAAGGCTCCTAAATCTCAGAGGCCCCTTCCTTCCTCTCCCAGGCCTGGAGAGAAGATCACAGTCATTGATGACTCCAATGAGGAGTGGTGGCGGGTAAGAGAAATGTCTGAGACTCGGGTGGGACATGGGTTGAGTTTAGAACCAGAGATTGTGAGATTAATTACCCCTACCATCTCCTTTAGGGGAAAATAGGGGAGAAGGTCGGATTTTTCCCTCCAAACTTCATCATTCGGGTCCGGTCTGGAGAGCGTGTGCACCGCGTAACGAGATCCTTCGTGGGGAACCGCGAGATAGGGCAGATCACTCTCAAGAAGGACCAGGTAGCTCTGGTGCCCCAACTCAACCCCAGGCCCAGAGGCTTCTCTGCAAACTACACTTCTTGCAGATCTTAACCCATTAATGGGGCTAGATTGGGCCTCCATAACTCTGGACTCCCCTGCTCAGCTCTTCTACTGTTTTCTCTTGATTCCCCTCCTCCCTCGTCCCTTAATCCTTTAGATTGTGGTGCAGAAAGGAGATGAAGCCGGTGGCTACGTCAAGGTCTACACCGGCCGCAAGGTGGGGCTGTTTCCCACCGACTTCCTGGAGGAGATTTAGGCGTGAAGACGCCTGCTGGCGGGAGATAACCAAACCCCATTCTGGGCAGGCCCAGTGGAGGTTGGGGAGAAAAGGGGCGAAAGCAATTATACTGCTGGGTGGGGGAGATGGGAAGGCCCGCCGGAACGTGACGGTGCTTCCGGGAAGGGACTGGTTCCCGTCCCCCTCCCCCGCCGAGGGCGTCGGATACTTGGTGCCGGGAGCAGCCTCACTCGCAGCCCCTCAGGTCCAGCCTTTGAGATCTGGAAAAAGAACGCGTCTCCACTAGGGAGACGGGAGGGGGCATTGAGGCGAACCATCGAATGTTGCGAATTTATTAAAGTTTTGACAAAAGTTAGAAAAGTTTACCGTTTAACTGGGGGCCGAGGGGAGAGGGAGGAGAGAGGGCCTAGGAAGGGGTGGCGAATCTTCCCCAGCTCTCCCCTCACTACCATGGTGCGAGGTGGGGAGACAGATGCGTCCGCCAGGCAAGGCCTCTGTCGTCAATGAAGAAAGGGGAGCTGGACTGGGGTCACGGCCCCCGCGCCCCTGCTGCTGGGAGCAGGATCGGGTAGCAGGGTAGGTCCCACTAGCTCTTAGTGATTTCGCCGTGGGCAGCCCCTTGCATTTCCGAACCTGGCTCAGTTCCGAGCTAGGCCGCCAGGGGGCGATGCAAGATCTCGGTTGAAGTGCGAGGGACGGGGGTGGGGGGGCGGGGGGAGAGGAGAGAACCAGAGACACCAAGCCTGAGACCCTGGTCCTGGAAGGGGGTGGGGTGCGTGCCGTCTCCATGGCAACACTTCCTCAAGTCCTCCGGGAACTGAGCGAGCGAGACGGGGGGGGGGGGCCTGACCCCTCCCGCGCGGCCCCCGCCCCAGCCCTTTGCGACAGGTACCAAGTGAGAGGGCGCGGGGCAGACAGCTAAGCAGCTCAAGCGGAGACCCCCCCTGCGGTGCGCCGTATGTAAATTATATTTGCATATGCAAATATGCAAATGTACCAGCCCAGGTCGCGGTGGCAGGTGGCGGGGAGCGGGAAGGTGTAGGAAAGGGAGCTGAAGGAGACGAGGAGTTTAGGGACCTGGGAGCGGACCAGTGAGCGGCAGCCTGGGGTGGCCGCTGGAATGGGGCTGGCTGAGGGTCTTGAGCTAGATGGCGGGTGGGGGAGGGTCAGCCTGGCCAGTCAAGAGATCCTCTTCTCTTCTGCCGGTTGTCAGCCAGGCCTGAGGTTGGCACCGCCTAGCAAGGTTGGCAGCGGGAGCCCGGGCACCATCTGCTGCTGGCGGGGGGAGGGCAGAGTCTCAGCTGGGCTGGGGAAGAGGAGGGCCCGGGACGGGAGCGCCCCCCTTCCTTCCAGAAAGCTGAGGTGTGTTGGGGGTAGGGAAGCACACGAGAAGACTCGCCTCAGAACCTGGTTCGGTTTCCTGTTCCCTTTGCCCTTGACTGATCCGGACGCCTCGGGGCGGCGGCGGGGTCATAAAGGGAAGCTCAGGCAGCCCCCTCGAATCACGCTTGGGCTGGAATATCAGATCGCAGGCCCCCCCTCCACCGCCGCACACAAATCAAACCTTTGCCCCCATCCCTCCTCACGATCCACCTACCACCAAAGCGGGGGGCAGGGACGGATAGGGCTTGGGTCGCAATTCTTCATCAAGCGATCAAAGGGACTCAAAACCAGAGCCTCCCAAGATTCTCGAGAGCGCCCCACACACACAAAATGCTGAAACAAAACCAATTTACTGGCTCATTGGGCGGCAGTGCTGGTGTAGGGGTACCGAGAAACAGAAAGAGCTGCTGTTCTCTCCCCCTACACTCGGGGGGCACCCTCCTCCCCCGCCTCCCGGAGCCGGCAGCTGTCCCTAATTAGAGCGGCGGTTTAATTGGATTTATCAGCAGTTAATAGGAAATTAAGCAAAGGGCCCGAGAGAGGGAGGGTGGGAAGAGCGGGGAGGCTGACTGTGCCGAGTTCGAAGGACGGGTGCTGGGGTGTCAGGGGTGGGGGACACAAGGCCCAGTTATAGCAATTGAGCCCCTTGGTCACACCCTCCCCCCAGTACTTGTCCCGCCCGTGGACCCTGGCCTGTGGGCAGAGAGCAGGTCTCAGGAGAGGGAGGCAGGAGGGACAGCGACCCTGTGTGAGCCCCCAACGCCCCCCACCCCTGCCAGCAGCCGCCTGGGTGATAGATGATGCTGCCTCACACTGCAAAGGTCATAAGTCTAGGCCAAGGAGCTGACTGAATTGAAAACAGACTGAAGGAGGGGCCGGGTTACTAGGGTCCAGAACACAACCCACATCCTACCCCTCCCCAGTGCCCACCCGGCTCTTAGCAAAGAAAGTGCCCCTTGACGTCCGAAGATTGAGCAGCACCAGGGATGAGCCTGCCTCCTGGCTGTGCTGGGAGTCTCCCTATGCGGTTGCTAATATCCCTCTATGGCTTTCCCACCTCTCCCCCAGCTACCCGGGTTGAGGCTGGCAGGGTCGGCTGTGGCCAGAGAGGCCTAAGGTCTACACCACTGGCCCTGGGGGCCAAGAAAGGAAGTTTGTGTGCAGTCAAGCAGGGGCGCAGGGTCCACAGCCCCAGGAATCTCCTATCATCAGAACCTCATTATATGGCTAGACTAGCAAGGCCTGCTTCAGGGATCCCAGTGACCTCTCTGCCACACTTCGCCACCGCAGGGCACAGGCAGCAGCTCTGGCATGTGTGGGTGTGAAACTCTGAGTGTGTGGGGGGAGGGGGGAAGGGGATTTCTCTGTGCCCCTGCTGATTATGGGTGTCTGTGTCCCTGCTCTGTAGTGTGTGTGTGTGTCTGTGCCCTGAATGTGTGAGGTGTGTCTATCAAGAGTCTCAGGTGTTGTGTTTGTGTATATGTGTGGACCCCTGGTATGTGTGCCCCTGGTGTGAGCCTGTGCCGCTGAGTATGTGTCTTGTCCCCGATCAGCCCCACCCCCAACCTCTTAAGATTTTTGGCTGTCTTAGACCCTGGGTGTCAGATGTACATATGTGCTTTGACGGTCTTCGTGTCTGTGCATTCTTCACTGCTGCGTGTGCCCCGCGTGTGGGCATTTACATGCGCTTCTGCCTGTAGGACCGTGTATGTGTGAGAACCAGGAAAAGCTTCTGGTGAGTGTGTGTTGTTCGGGCGTCTCTGCCTGCAGGTGTGTGTGCCTCAGTGACAGTGCGTGGGCGTGTGCCTGGGTGTGAGCCGCGCGGCGGCGTATATTCGAATGACAGTGTGACGCACGCACGCACGCTCGTGTATGTGTGTGTGTGTGTGTGCGCGCGCGCGCGTGTGTGCTTGCCAGGGTGAGTCTCCCGCCCCCGCCCCTTCCTCTCCCCATTTCTATTCCTCTCTCCTCTCCGGGCGGGCTTGGCTCCAACGTCCGCATCGTCCGCATCATCTCCATCCATTATTGAAGAAAGAGCCGCGTCCGCTCCAATCACATCAACACCCCCCGCCCCCCTCAGTTCCGCTCGCCCCGCGGCCCCTCTGGGTGCTGGGGAGTGGGGGAGCCGCAGCGCGGCGGGTGCGCCGGGCAGTAGCTGACTCATGACCCTGTGTCCAGAGCTGGGCCAGGCACCGGAACGCCGGGGTCCCGGGCGGAGAGCACTTTGCATAAACAGATGGCGCAGGCGTCTTTGTCTCGCTGGTTCGTTCGCTGCGCGGCTCCCGGCTCCGCGGCTGTCTGGCTGATGCAATCATGATCATCTCAGAGCCTCGGGACCCGGCGTCCTTAATAGCGGCAGAGGGGGTCAGGGGCCCCGGGGCTCCCGAGCAGATGCTGGGCACTGTGTCTTCCAACCCTGGCGCCCCCTCCACGCCGCACTGCTGCAGAGGGAAGAAGGAGCCCGCGCCAAGGTGACGGGCGTGTGGAGGTGACCGGGAAGGGGACCCTGGGCAGTGCCCCGAGGTGTCCCCAGGCTGTCCCGTTTGACTGCTGCAGAACCCCAGGGGCAGCAAGGCAGAGAATAGGAATAGAACCAGGGAATGGGAGGGGGGAGAAAGACAGTGACAGAGAGAGGCATTTGTAAAGAGAGGCACAGCGAGGTAGAGCAATGTAGAGGGAAGGAGAGACGAACGGAGGGAGACACAGAAACAGATGCAGGGGGACACAGCCAGGTAAAGAGAGCTGCAGAGGGAGAGACAGAATGAGAAGGAACAGAGAGACAGTGATAGGGTCTGAAGCAGACCCAGAAAAAATGGGCAGCCAGAGACTGGGGCAGGTAGGGTCAGAGGGCAGAGAACAGTCTCGGGGCGGAGGCGGAGCCCCGGGCATCTGGGGCAGCCCAGCCTGGCGAGAGAAACTGGCCTGAACCTGAGGTGCCCGCAGCTGGCGAAGTGGGAGCTTCCTCGTCCCCTCTCCTTCCCTTCACTCGGCCCCACCTCACAACAGAAGAGTGGAAGTTGAGGGACCCACTGCCTTGGCGGTGGAAGTGGCAGGAACGGCTGACCTGCCAGCCGGACCGACACTCCTGGCACTAATTTACCTGCTCAAAAGCCGCGGGGCGCAGGGCCAGCGCAGCCCGATAGGGGGCGCCTGAGGCATCGCCCCCTAAGAGCTTGAGAGCAGCTCCGCCTCCAGGGGGCGCCCGCACCCACGGCCCCGCTGGCAACTTGTTCCGCGGAGTCCAGCTGCTTTTGACGTTCGGCTCCACCAGAGCGCGGATTAGTGTCTGTAAGGTTTAGGGTTCAGAGTCAGATCCCAGCGGGAACCCAGCCCGCCCCTGGCCACGCCTAATCCGCAGCTAATGACCTCTGTCGGCTCGGTCAGCGTGGCCTGAGTCCTTCTGGTAGGAAAATGCGGGGAGGTGGGAAGAAATGCGATGTGGAACCCAAGGAGTTCTGTGTCTCAGCTTGGCCCCAGAGACCACGATCCAGAGATGGGCGGGGCCTTAGAAATAGGGTCACCGACAAGGGGTCAGAGACAAGTACCAGAAGCAGGTGAAGGGTCAAGGAGCCCCGGAGAGGCAAGCGCGAAAGCAGTAATGTAATAAGGAACTCTGGCGGAGGCCCAAGGCAGGAGGATCAACGGCGGCTCCAAGGAAAGAAGTGGGTCAGAGGGTCCTGAATGCGCTAGGCCCGGGTCACTGGAACTCACAAGAAAGGGCACCGGAAGGAGGGCGAGGGCCCAAGAAGCAAAGGGGCGCGGTACAGGGGCCAGACATACCTATCGGCATCCTGGAGCCCCAGTTGTGCCACAAGAGCCCGATGTGCAGCCCAGCTGTGCGGCCCTCGAGCTCGAGCTCCAGGAGTGATTTTTAGTCCCAGAGACTGGAGGGCTAAGGGGCACTGGTGACAGGACACCCCAGCCCCTGACCCAGCCCTGGAGGTGCGGGTCCTCAGGAAGGGCCGGGCTCTGCGCTGCTCCAGGCTCTGACATCCCGTCAGTCGCCCTCCGCCGTCCCCCACACACGTAAGCACTGAGTCTCTGTCTCTTTGTTCTCGCCGTGTCTCTGACACTTTATCTCATTATCCGCCGGAGGGAGGCGGAGAGCTCAGGACCCCGCAGCCTAATTACAGCCGCGCTTGTCAGCGCAGGAGGCTGGGGAGGTATCAGCTCGGGGCGAAAGCAGGAGGGCCCCCAGAAAGGGACTTCTCCCTCTCGGTGCTCTGAGGGGCACAGCGGTGGGTGCACAGCTCGCCCCTGCCTGGGCACCACGAGGCTCTGGAGGGGAGAAGTGAGAGACCTCTGTAGGATGGGCTGCCAGGGCAGCAGTGGGGGAGGCAGGGAGGATGGAGGTTAGCGTGGAGTGGGGAGAGGTGGTTAGGGCTGCGCTCCTGGGTCCCTAGGACCCCAGTTTCCCGAAGATGGTGGCAGTGAGCTTTCCCACCCTGACAACATAGCATACACGCGAGTTCATATACCCCAGTTGGTCGCGTAAAGGGAGGCAATCGCTCTACGACGCTTCTGTCTGTGTCTTTTTCTCTTTTCTCCTTCAACATCTTTTCTGTCTTTCCTCAGCTGTTTCCTTTACTCCATTCTCTTTCTCTCCATCACAGCCAGAGACAGAACGTGGCTTCCTTGGATGGCTAACCCAGGTAGGCAGGGGAAGGAAGTCTCTCTAGCCCCCAAACTTAACCAACTGATTTATTCTATTCTGAGTCAGGTGTAAGATAATGCCCGGCTTCCCTGGCCTCCAGACACTGTTCCAGGCTAATCACAACACAACTTGGAGAAAGCAACTTGAAGAAACCACCCAGGACTAGAGCGGCTGGGGCAGCTTTAGTGCTGTTGGTCTATCTGTCCCCCTCCTGTTCCCACTATACTGTGGAGGGAAACAGAACCAGGGCCCCCAAGACCTGCCAGCTCCTGGGTGGCTCTAGGGGTGTCAGGGAAGCATTACAGATGTCCTCATTCTTTCCTGGCCCCTCCTGGTCCCACCTGTGAACACTCCCACCTGCACTTTGCTGGAGGTCTGTCTGCCTGTCCCATGGTGAGTCCTTCCTCCCACTTCGGGATCCCCCTCAATCAGTCTGTGAGTCAGAGTCTGAGAGGCCTCTCCCTTGGACCAGCCCAAAGCCCAAAGCATGATGATGTCCCATGGGCCAGGTTCTGACCCCTTGGAGTGGAGAATGGATGAGCAGAAATGCCCCTGTTCCCCAACAGTTCTCTTCCCAGCGAGCCTGGAACTGCCGTAGGGAGAGAGATTGGGGGCGGGGAAAGTCTGATGAAGCGGCCGAGCTGGGCCAGGCTGGGCTGGGCTGACCCCTCCCCAGAGAGGGGCGGGACCCCAGGAGGAGCAAGGGAGCAGGGAGGCTGGAGAGGACCAGACACTGAAGAGGCGACATGGCAGGAACCAGCCTCGGAGCCCGCTTCTACCGGCAGATCAAGAGACATCCCGGGGTGAGTTTGGTCTCAGGAGCCATGATTCTACCTTCTAACTCTCTAGCTGCCCTGGCAACCCCCAAATCTCCCAGTACCCTGCCTCTTGCCTAGTTCCCCCAAAGCTCCTAATATTTCTTCAGGGTGCCCTCAGTCCATCCCTGCAATATGCCCTCCGTGTCCCTTGAATCCACCTCAGACAGACTCGCAGTAGGTTGAGGGAGACTACGGCAAAAATGTGGTGTGGGAGGCTGCCGGTCCTCCCTCACGGAAGGGAGGGGGCGCCGGACCCGGAGTGGGGGAGCGGGCGGGCCGAGCAGAAAAGCTTGTAAAGGGCGACTGGGAGGGGGCTGCCCCTGAAAGTTCCCTCTGTCTTCCCGCAGCTCATCCCGATGATCGGCTTCATTGGCCTGGGCATGGGCAGCGCTACGCTCTACTTGCTGCGACTCGCGGTGCGCAGCCCCGACGTCTGGTAAAGGCCGGGCTTGGGACGCAGGAAGGGGTCCTGGCTGGGGCAAGATGAGACAGGGACGCACAGGCCTCCCAGGAATGGTGGGAATGAGGGGTCCTCGCGAGAATCCCTAGGCAAGTGGTATCTCGGGGCTGGAGCCCGCTCCTGACCTGCGAGGCCCCCGCCTTCGCTCGGGCCCATCAGACAGCTCACTCCTCAGTGGCTGGCGACTCGGCCCGCTTTGGGCTGCGGAACTAGCACCGCTCCCGGCCGCGTTGCCATGGTGACGCCGCTCTGCTGGCCGCCGGTGGCCTTCTGGTACCTCTGTCTCGCCGCCCAAGCGCTGGGGGTGTGGCCGGGTGAGCTGCTGGGGGCGCCTTTGGGGCCGGGGCGGCGCGGAGACCGCAAGCCCCGCCAGAGGCGGCGGGAGTGTAGGGTCCTTCAGCACGCAGGAGCACCCACGGCGTTGTCTGAATTCGAGGCACATCACTACAACCCCAGCGCCTCGGGATTTCTGCCTGATTCCCACCGCTCTGCTCTATGGGGCTAACCTGGGGTGACAAGGAGCAGGCGGGAGTCCCTGGGCCGGGTTGTCACGTCTGTCACCTGGCCCCAGGCTGACAATGCTGACAGCCTTCTTGTCTCACTTGTCAGCACCCGCTAACGTGACCCCTCCCCTCTCAATCTCTGGGAAATGCCCCCCACCTCCGCGGAAGAGGGGGCGTGCTGGGGCGGGGGCGCAGACCCTGCGGGTGCCCTGAGGCTACAGAGTCCTAGCTCCCAAAGAGGAAACCCTAACCCTCCCCCTCCCTCTCCACAGCTGGGACCGAAAGAACAACCCGGAGCCCTGGAACCGCCTGAGCCCCAATGACCAGTACAAGGTAACTCCCAGTGGCTTCAGGGTTGCACCTCCGTCCGCTCATCTCTTGATCCCAGCTGGCACCTCCCACCCCAGCAAAGGGAGGCCTGGGGCACTCGGTGCAACCCTCCTTTCTCTCCTGTAGTTCCTTGCAGTTTCCACTGACTATAAGAAACTGAAGAAAGACCGGCCAGACTTCTAAGCCTGGCTGCAGAGCACGTCGATGTAAACCACCACCAGCCAGCCTACTCATTTCTTCAGCTCTCGACCGTCCACCCCAGGGCACCACTCTAGCCACCCTGTCCAGCTCCTGCTTACACAGGCCAGTTCCCACGAGGAGGGGAGGCAGCTCCACCCCTACCCTCTTCCCTTGCTCCCAGCAGCGGAAGCACCTCTGACCCTCAGCTTCAGTCCCACGAGGGGGGAGGGAAGGGGGAGTTAGGAGGGTAGGCAGTAGCCTGGGCAACCCAAAAGGCCCATGCCAGCCCCCCTGCCCCGCGGGCCTCACAGGGTGTGGTGCACACTACGTGTGGAGCATGGCCTACGTGAGAGCCAAGACCAAGCAGAGGCCTTAGTGCCAAGTGACGTGGCGGGCCCCACGTTCGCCCAGGCTCTGGGCACCAGCCCAGGGGCGGTGCTACTTTGGCTGAACTGGGTTCCACCAGGCTCGTTACCGACAGCCCAGCCAGCCTGTGATGAGGCACCTACGCCCAAGGAGGTGAAGCTCGCTCCTCCCAGTGCCCAAGCCCCCCGCTTCCCGTGCCAATGGGCACCCCCTCCTGCCTCGCACCTGGGCCTCCCCCTGCCTTCCCCACCCCTCCCTGCTCCCCTCCGTCCCCTGGGATCAAACAGAAGCAGCCGTGGGCAAAATACAATTTCATTTAACAAATTGAATTTGCTGCGCCTGCTAATCACGTCTGGTGTCAGCTCTGATCAGAGGGAGAGGAGACTGCAGCCCCAGGGGTCCTCATGGTAGTGGTGGGAGGGAAGGGAGGGACATGCTGAGGGAGACAAATCACCACCTGGCCCAGGGGACCCCTCCCACAGTAACAGAAGCTCAGGGCAGGTCAGCATTTTATTAGATAAAAATGAAAGAAGGGTGCCTACCCACTCCTTCCTCTGGCTCACAAGGGCAACTCCCCCTCCTCAAGAGAGGGCAGGGAGTCTATAACACTGAGATAATGAGAGAGGTTAGGGCAGAAAGCCCCAAGCCTCTTCCTTCTAAGTCTTGTTACAAGAAGAAACCTCCTCAGCTACAAATCCTGGGAAGGGGAACTATACCCGCTTTTTCCCTTAAGTGGGCGGCCTTCCCCTCCTCCAGCAAAAAATTGGAAGATAGGCAGTTACCCCCACCCCTAACTTGTCCAGGTAGGGGCAAGAGGAATAAACGTCAGTCTGTGCGCTTCATTTCTTAGGTGCCTTCAGTGCTCATCAAAACCAGGCATGGGGAAGGCCTTGGCAAACTGCTCCACCCGTTGCCTGAGGTCAGCCAGCCGATGACTTGTTTCTGGGTCTTTGAGCAGGAAGGATTTGAAATCCTGGAGTTTGGCTAGAGATGGGGGAGAAAAGAAAAGTGGTCAGAGCTCTGGGGAAGGCCATTCGATCAGTTGAAGGAGGGGGGAGACAGTGAATGTAAACTGGGTGGGGGCAGGGGAGGGCTTGCCCACTCACCGGTCTTGCTCTTCACCTCCAAGCCGATGTTGACGCCTTCATCTATAAAGCCCACAACTTTCCGGAAGTCATCCTCACGGAACTGTCGAGAAGTCAAGGCTGGGGCCCCTGGGAGAGAGGCAGGAGAGGATCAGCATGGCCCAGGCCCACCTGGCAGCCACCCTTCCCTGCTGGAACCCAGGTCTCACCCAGCCGCAGGCCCCCAGGTGTGGTGGCACTTCGATCTCCAGGACAGGTGTTCTTGTTGGCCGTGATGGATACGAGTTCCAACACCCGTTCAGCTCGAGCTCCATCCAGGCCCTTGGGCCGCAGGTCCACCAGCACTAGGTGGTTGTCAGTGCCACCTGAGGGGGGACAGTAAGCAGGAAGTACTGAGTCCTGGGCCTCTGCCTGAGGGTACAGAGGCTTTCACCTACCCCCTGGCTCACCAGACACCAGTGAGTAGCCTCGCTCTAGCAGGGCATCAGCCATGGCCCGAGCGTTCTTCAGAACCTGCAGGGAGTACTCCCGGAACATGGGGGTGCAGGCCTGGAGATGAGACAGCAGCACTGTCACCTTAAGCCCTGCCCCTTCTGCCCCTCCACCCCCAGCATAGTGTGACCCCATCCCAACCCCCTCCCATCCTGGCACCTCCCTTCCATCAGCTCCAACTTCAGTTGGCAAGGTGCAGGGTCTGAACCTGTAGGCCATGCCCCACCCACCCCACAAGAATAGGCTCCCCAACCTGCTTTAGGGCTACAGCCACCGCAGCAATGGCATGGTTGTGGGGGCCCCCCTGCAGGGACGGGAACACAGCAAAGTTGATTCTGTCCTCAAACGTGTAAGGGATCTCCCGGCCCGTCTTGGGGTCCACAGCCCGCACCCCCTTCCGGTAGAAGATGAGTCCTGACCTGTGCAGGAGGTAGGCGGTCAGAAGCTAAGCCGAAAAGAAAGGGCAAGGGGGTGGGGAGAACAGAGGAAGCTGGCTCGCCCAGCCCCGCAGGCTCTAGAGTCCAGCACAGTTGTGCTCTGTGTGCAAGACTCCAGGGGCTGAGGGGAGCAGCCCTCACCTCCACCCCCAAACCCCCTGCCGGGGAACTGCCTCCACGGGCAAGAGAAGGAGAACTGTCATAGACTGGGCTTCTGGTGGGAATGAATTCCTCAGATCCAGCCCAACAACGCCCCAGGAGTGAAGGCAGTGAGGGGCAGTGAGGGGCAAGGCCTGACCTGGCCCCTCGAAGGGTCTTGTGAGTGGTGGTGGTGACAACATCCGCGTGCTCGAAAGGTGAGGGGATCACCTTGGCAGCCACCAGGCCACTGATGTGGGCCATGTCCGCCAGCAGGTGTGCCTTGACCTCATCACACACCTGGGCAGGTACAGAGACAGGCCTCAGCCTGGGGAGGGCCCAGACAGGCCTGCCCAAGGCTGCCCCTCCTCCAAAATCTCCCCACCAGCCCTTGGGGGGGGGCGGGTACTCCAGCCCTCCACTCACCTCTCGCATGCGGGCATAGTCGATGAGGCGAGCATAGGCACTGGTACCAGCTATGATGAGTCGAGGTCGGAAGAGCCGAGCAGTGAGTGCCAGCTGGTCATAGTCAATGAGGCCGGTTTTGGGCTGGACAGACAGAAAAAAACTAAAGCCCTAAGAAGAAAGCAGGGCAGCTCCTCACAGCTCCCTCCCCACACCCTAGAGCACTCACATTCAGCTTATAGGGCATAGACTCGAAGAAGATGGATGTAGCTGAGATCCGCTTAACATCAGACATGTAGCCATGGGTGAGACTGGGAGGGGAGGAGAGGAAGCAGAGGCAGGTTCAGAGTGGAATAACTCAGACTTAGCCGCTCCCTTCCTGCCCCACTCCAAAGGCCGGGGTCTCTGGAACACTGCTCCTAGCAGGCACCACCCTCACGGCTCTGGGCACCGCTTTCTGGGGTCTTATCTTCCTCATTCCCTGGAACTTGCAGGACTGGGAGAGCCCTGTTTCATCCGCATGGAACACGGTAGGTGTTCAACAGATTATCTTCTCCCACGCCCATACTGCCTACAAGCCCATCACCCACCCCATCTATACTCACTGGCCCCCATCAGGCAGGTCCAGCCCCATGATTCGGTCATGAGGCTGCAGAAGGGCTGTGTAGGCAGCCAGGTTGGCTGGGGACCCCGAGTAAGGCTGGACATTGACTCCCCACTGAGCAGGATTCAGGTCAAAGGCCTCCAAGGCCCGGCGCTGACACAGCAGCTCGATTTCATCCACTACCTCTGCTCCTCCATAGTACCTGCAACGGGAGGGGAGTAGATCAGGGCACAGAGAAAGGGTTCCACCATCCCCCTGGACCAGCAGCAAAGGACTGGGAAGGCCACTTCTCTATGCACACTAGGAAGGTACAGGCAGGTGTCCCCCACTGGGATCACCATCCCTGAGGCTGTCCTCCAGCCTTCTGGTGCCTAGCCCTCACCTCTTGCCAGGATAACCCTCCGAGTACTTGTTGTTCAGACAGGACCCCAGGGCCTCCAGCGCAGCTCGGCTGCAGAAGTTCTGGGGTGGGGGAGGGGGCAATGTCAGAAGGTATTGAGCCCCCTTCCCTGGATCCCACAGCCCCATCGTGCCAGAGCCCAGGCTGCAGGGAGGAGCTGGGTTCTACAGAAAGCTCTGTTCATTTAGGATTCCGTGCCAGGCCTGGGGCAGGCCCAGAGCAGCATCCTCAGAAACCCAGCTGCTGTGATAGGTGTCTCCAGCAAGGCCACCTGTCCAGTTGAACCTGTGCTTCCAAGCTTCTCTTTCCTCTTGGGATGCAAAAGGGACCAGACTAAACTATAGGAGCCCCGGGAGGCTCTGGAAGCTTTCTAATGCCCCATCCCATAAGCCAGACTGGCCCTGCCTTTGCTTCAGAGGTCAGTAAGAAGAGAGGAAGATGAGGTCCAGCAGGAAGGCCCTGAGTCTGAAAGGGAGAGCTGGAGAAATAGCAGGAAGATGACCTGTTACTTGCAGCACCCACGGTGGCCTAAGCCCTGGCCCCTCTCCCAGGCCCCACCTCTGAAGCAATGAGCTCCAGGCCACGACACTGCCTGTCCTTCTCTCTCCGTAGCAGCTCCCACATCTCAGGGTCACTGTCCGATAGACTCTCCTGGCCTGACCAGCCCTTGGTTGCTTCTCCAGTCTGGGTCTGGGCTGCCTCGCTGTGCTGGCACCGTATGGCCATCCTGACCAGCCGACCACATCTCCGCAGAGGCTGGGGGAGGAAAAGACAGGGTCAAAGAAAAAGTGCCCAGACAAAAACAGTCAACAACCCTCAGCCACGCTTATCAGGACCTCAGGCTCCATATCCAGCAGCCAGTTGTCTCGTCGGTCTGTTCCAGTTCTCACCACTCCCACCTCCACCTTCAAAAGCCAGTTCTAGAGCCAAGGTTGAGATCAATGTCCAGGGGGTGGTTCTGATTCGGTCCATTCACCTCACCTCAGACTCTCCCTCCACCTCTGCCCTTGAACCACTCTGCAAAGCCTCGGGCAAAGTCTGTCCTCTAGAAGCCTATGTCTCTGGAGCTCAGGGGCAGTCCCCACCCACAGAAACACATGGTCTTCCTGCAGAGCCTTCACAAAGTGATACCCCAGTCAGGGTGGGAGGCAACCAAACTGGCAAGAGTTAGGGCAACGAGCTGGTGGCTTCCTGAGCAACGGAGGTGCCAGGGTAGACCTTCAGCAGCCCCTGGGGAAGAGGTGTGTGTACGGGGTTGGGGGTGGACTGCTGGCAGGGAAGCCAAAACCCACATCTTGTCTTTTGTGCTCCCCACTCTTTCCACCTCCTTCCAGCCCACAGAGCCGCGGGACCCCTGATACAAGCAAGGGTGACCAGCTGCATCATTTGCATGGCTCAGAGCTCGCAGGAAAGACTTAGCTCGCCGGTCCAGGCCAGGAACCCCGCTCGCTGGTCAGCACAGGGTCCACAGTTCTCTTCCCTAATGCCACGTCAAATGGGCGGTCACAAGGCCTTGGGGCATCTGGTTACCGGAATGGAGAGGGGCCCCAATCACCCCGCGTGCGCCGGGGGTCTCAGGGACCCCCTAGTTGCACATTCTCTCTCCCCTCCCGCTCTCCCCTCCCGGAGGACCCAGACCACGTGCGTTTAAAAGCCAAGAGAACCCAAGTTTGTGAATAGTTAACTAGGATAGGAGGGGAGCTTACTTCCTACTAGTCACCCAGCCTCCGGAGCCCCATTCTTACCCGAGTCGCCCAGAGCAAAGAGAAGAGCAACATCGCAACCGGAGATGAAGGTCGCAGCAGGTCCAGGCACCAACTCCGGCCGGGGAAAACGAGGGGCTGGAAGAAGACTGATCGGAGAGCGCATGCGCGAAAAGAGCTGCTGGGAAGCCACAGAATTAGGGCGGGGCCTACGCATGCGTAAGGTGGACGCTTTATGGTCTTTTGGGAATTGTAGTTTTTTTTTCCCTCTTCTTCACTTTCGTTTCCCGTCTGTAGCCCCAGGGTCAGAAGCTTTTGCCTGAAAGAAAAGAGATCCAGTGCCGCCCCATCTCCTCGTTGTCCTGAAGCTCTTCAAGGTTTTCTTTCTTTCTTTCTTTCTTTTTTTCCTGTCTGTTGTCCAGACAGCAACAATTTATTGGGTGTCTACTGAGTGAACCTAGCATTATTAGGCTGTCTGGGAAATACAACGACTCCTATACAAGCTGAAGAGCCCTGTTGCACTGGGAAGCACCCTGGTTTGGAAGAGTGAGAGACCCAAGTTCAAGTTCCAGCTCTGGGACTAACTAGCAAATTAGCCTATTTGAGCTGCATTTTCCTCACTTATAAATCAATAATAAAATAACATGTGGGAATTATATGAGGCTGTATGTAAACATGCTCTTGGATGGATCATCCCCCCCCCCCCCATCCTCACAAACCTGCCTCCTCCGTGACCGTCTCCTCTTTCCCTGGGACATCCGGGAGCTGACTGAGGTGCTCCCTCCTTTCCTTGCACTTGTTGAATTTTGTTACCAATTCATTCTTGCTGCTCCAGCAATCACGGAGCTCTCTTTGTATCCTAGGGCTATAGATCCTTGGAGCTGGAAGGGATCTTCCTTGTAGCCTGACTTCATCTGGACTCATCCTTTAGGGGAGGGACTCATCGATCCCTCCAGGAGTAGGTTCCCAAACCTGGACATCAGAATTGGCTCGGAAATGTGATATAAATATATGAGTGGGGAGCCTTTCCTCAGAGGTTCTAATTCAATGGATCTTAAAGAATGGGCATTTGCCCACTCACGCTGAAACACAACAAAACCTCTCCTTAGTGATTCTAATAAGCAGTGAATTTGAGAACCACTGCCTTACAACATTACAATTCATTCATTCATTCATTCAGCAGACACATTGCGCCCCTTCACCATGCTAGGCATGCCATAGCTGTGGAAATATCAGAATAGGTCACTGACTGCCGGTCCATCAAGAGGTGAACAACAAATGCAATTACAGGCAGAGGCACCTTACTCTGCTCCCAGATGCCCAGATGTCCTAAGAGCAGGGGGAGGAAGAGGAGAGGATGGCGATTGGAGGAGATAGGTTTGTGAGTCAAAGAGGGGGAGGACAATCCGTCACAAAGCCTATTCACTTGCAAAGTCTCATTTAACCTCCAGAACACTCTATTTTATTATTGCTTTACAAGGGAGGAAACTGAGGCCCAGATGGGCTAACTTGCTAATTCCAGTCATTCCCACTTGGTTCTCATATCAGGCCTCAGATGTCCCCCTTAGTTAGCTCTAACCTCCTTCCCTCCCACTCTAGCCTCAGGTGCTTTCAGCTTTTTCCAGTAATAAGCTTGGTGTTGGGAGTCTGCTGGGTTCCCCTCCTTCTTATAATCTCTGACCCAGAACCACTTCCCACCTTCCTCTTTCAGTTGATCCTGTTATCCATCCATCCATCACCTATTTATTTTCCCCATACTGACTTTTCACTCCCAGGTGTGTCTGGGTGAGACTCACCTCCGACTCAGTTTCCCGCTGGAGCCAGTGGGCAATCCTCCGGAGAACACTGCTCTCTTCCAGTCTTACCTTGACCCAGGACTCAAGGCGAAGGAAGGCTGAGGACGAGATGTCGTTCTGTGCCTCAGCTAGTCTGTACCTCCTCCCTCGCCCCAGTCAGGGGTCCCGAGGGGAGGCGGGGGGTGGTGGGGCTGAGCTTGAGAACTGCTAATGAAGCCGCAGCCAATTAACGCCCGGGCCAGGGCTGGGGGCGGATAAAATTAGCAGCTGTGTCGACAGGAGTGAGCTGGAGGCGGGGTGGGTGGGGAGGGTGGGCAGCTGGCTGAAGGGGCCCTTGTTTGCGTTTGCAGACGACAAGCAGCAGCGACGCTGCTGGGCTCTCCAAACTCGCGCTCGTCCCTTCCCCCACCCCCTCGTCTCAGGCCTCCCTCCCCCAACCGTCTGCAAACTCAGCGCCCACGGAATTAGGAAGGAAAAGGAAGATCGATGACTCCAGATGCCGAAAACACCGTTCCCCCTCCCCCCGCCCCACCTGCCGCCTCCCGCCAGCCCCGCGGAGCTTAGCAGGTTGTCAGCGCTCTGCCTACGCTGTCCCTTACATCTCCATCCCATTCAAGGCCTTATACCTCCTCCCCCAAAATAGCCCGCTGGTGGTCCGCTGTCAGGTCTAATCCCCATCCTATTTTCGGCAGCTTCACTTCGCCCACCTCTGGGAGGAAAATTCCCACCTCAGGCAGGGCTCCAACCCCAAGGGTCGTCCTCATCTGTATCTGATCTGGTCTTGGATGACCTCCAAGGTGCTAGCTCCGTCAATATTTGCCTCAGTTTCCCCACGAGCCGCCGAGGAAGGAGGCCCTGGCCAGGTCTCTGCCAGACATAAACCCACACCACCACCACCCACTTCCCTACAAAGGTCTCACACAGACGCGTATTGGATTTCACTTTATTTTGTTCCCTTTCCCGTCTGTTTTGGTGTAGGAAAAAAAAAAAAAACATCACCGAGAGGAAGCAGCCGGAAAGGTGGAGCAGGATGGCAAGGACCGGAGGGAGGCGGGCGGAGGGCAGGGGCCGGGTCGATCGCCTATGCCCAGGAGTTCTGCTTCCGCTACCCTAATTATTGGGGTTTCGGGGAAAGGGGGACAGGCATACGGCAAGCAGAGGGGATGGGAATAGGCCACGGTTTATAGGCATTTATGGTCTTTACGTGGGTACAGGGTGGAGGACAAGTACCTGGGGGTAAGAGAGTCAGGGTGGGATGAGGGGGCCGGGCCAGGCGTTATTAAAGCTGCGGACAAGGGGAGTATCCAGCCCAGCGCCAGGGCGTAAAGAGGACCCAATGTGGACGCAGGAGACGCTGGGACCGCCTCCAAGCCCCGCCTATTCTGGGGCTGCGCTCTTGCTCCTCCACTTTGGGCGGTAGCCAAGGGGGCTACCCCCAGCCTCGTGGGCACTCCCAGTAAGGAAAAGGGGACCCGCGCAGACTGATGGTCCCCGGGAGGGCTGTTCCTCTCCGCCCCAGAGTGGAAAGGGTGGACGCGGCCACAGGAGCTGCGGGGTACGGGGAGAGGTCCCACTTAGGGAGTCCGGGATTTCGCGGGAAGCTCACGGCCCGGGCGAGGGCGGGGCGCGCTATCCAAAGTAGGGGTGCTCGCTCTGGAAGTTATAGTCTGGGCACACCTTCTGCACCAGTTTGTAGTCAAAGCTGAGGAAGGAGACGAAAATGCAGATGACTTTGAAGGGCTTGGCACAGAGCCAGGCGGCCTGGCTCTGCGTATGCTCGGTGAAGCACACCTGCGATGGGTCGTACAGGCACGGGCGGTGCTTGCGAGCGCGGTTCGTCTTCTCATACTCCACGTGGCAATTGAAAGCGCGTGACTCTTTGGTCCCGGGCACTCCCAGCGCGCCCCCAAGCGGACCCGCCAGCGCGCCCCCGAGGGTGCCCCCTAGCCCCGACCCCGCGGCCGCTAGCCCCAGCGGGGGCCCCAGCCCAGGGAGCACCCCCTCCAGGGCCAGCGTAGACTGCAGAGGGTGGGGGGCGGGCCCCGGCAGCCAGACGCCCCCAAACTCGACACGCTTGGAGGGCGGCACGATGCTGACGCTGAGGTTGCCCAGGCTGGACGAGTTGTGGCGGAAGTACACGCTGAAGGTACCGTTCACATGGTCAACTATCTTACCCGTCACCAGCAGCGAGAACTTGAGAGTGTGCACCCGGAAGTAGAAGTCCCCCCAGCCGAAAATCTTTTTGGCGCGGGCCGCTTTGATAGACGGCTTTCTCTTGGTGCGCTGCACGGGGGCCCCCGCCACCCCAGCCCGGGCCAGTGTCCGGGTGTGGTTAGCCGGCCAGGCCCAGCTCCAGGCACGGGCGGTGCCCAGGCCGTCGGAGGACCTCGGCGGCGCCGGGAGCCGATGGCCAGGGGCTCCCTCTCCCGCCGTGGCCGGGCCCAGCTCCAGGTACTGCGGCCTCCCGGACTCTGATATCTGGGCACTGACGGCCTGTGGACGAAGAAAGAGGAAAAGAGAGCCGCTGGGGTTGTCTGGGGCCACCCGCCAGGGCCACGCCAGTCCCTCTAGGAAACCAAATGGAATCGGGCCGCCCGGAGCAGTTGCTCAGGGAGTGCGCATTTGAGTGGGCCTGCAGCCCTTTCAAGCTGTGTGGTCTCGCCTCAATTTCTACATCTGTGAAATGACACTGAGAATCCTTGTGTTCTCAGAACTCTGATGAGGGCTGAGAAAGCCAAAAAGGCCAAAGCCAATGTGGGTTTGAATAGGGAGTGGAGCT